CTCATCAAAACAGATGATAGAAATTCCCCTTACGGCTTCTCTAGTGAATGTGAGAGTATTACTGCCTCGATTTCAACAATTAATAACCTCAAGGAACCAAATAATATTTTAGGAGTATCACGCGCGAAAGGGAGGATGTTCATAATCCTGAAGGTTTATAAGAGCGTAATTTTTCTTCCAATTGACAAGCGAATAGTTAAACCGATTACCACGTCCTTTGTTTAACTGTGTGGTAAAAGGACTATTTTGAAAACGCTAACTGTTTGAATCCGGCAGCGAAATGGCTAGTGGACGCAAGAGTGAGTATTTCGAAATCCCGCTTGAGGAAGGTGATGCACTAAAATCACCGAAGTCCCCTTTTACACCACGGGCGCTTACAACACCGAAGACTGCTCCCGCTAGTGCCAGCGATTTGGCCAAAAAGTTGGAAACAGCATCAGAGCGCCGTAGCCGTGCTCTTCAGGTAAGTGTCAATGGCCTCAAGTAAATCCTGCTGCTGCTGAACGTAGTGCTTAAATTAATTAATAGTTGCATTTTTTCGTTTGCTGTTGATGTGTAACATATTTTTTGTATAGCCTGTCCGTTCAATGTTCTAAGCTCACTTTGGTGCATATATTTTTAGACTTTTCTTAAATACCTCCGTTTTATTATACCCACATTTCCCTGAAACAGGTGAAAATGGAGTGTCATGTTAGGTAGCACCCCGTTCTGCTGCATACAGACAACACAACTTTTCCTCTGCCACGGCCTTTCTTAATCACATTGCATTCATAGTGGCTTGCTCCACCAGGCACTGTACTACACGTGACAAGTGATAGGAGTGTAAGGCATAACCAATTTTGTCTTTGGTCCTCTTCAAGCTCTAGTTGCCGTACGTCCTTATAAACATGCTAATCAATCTCGTTAAACATGTTTTTGTTTAACTATCCGGACAAATGTTTCTCCTGTCGGGTCCTCATGCTTTGGCGACGTTATATCTTCTCTTACCGTTCACTCAACTTTCGCAGTTCCTCCTATCGTTCTGTGTTCTTTATAGTCGAATACTAACACTGCATTAAGTTTCCAGGTGTTTCCTATAAAAGACTACAATGCGAATAAGGAAAAGAGTTACTGTTAGGAAGCATTTATTACTTCGTCTGTTAAACAGTGTACGCTGGCCATTCTGGCTACGTTTTAGGTAGAAAAAACTACGCCAAAGTTTTTTTCTGCCTAAAAGAAATCTTTCGTGTATTCTGTTTATATTGCTTTACAGAAAGCTGTAGCTGTTCATGGGTGGGTCTGGTTGCTAGTAGTTAATTACGATTTTCTCTCACGCCAGGTCAATCATTACTTATGCCGATTAAACGCTCGGTTTTCTCAAATTTTGTCACTGTCGTTTCTGTTATCTCCTCTATCCTTCGTAGCATACCTTGTTCGCTATGCGCACCAAATCAAACTGTCAATCACAAAAGTTAGTAATTATTGTTGCCTCTGAAACTTTTGCTTATTTGGTTATAACCAATGCGAATTTTTCTGACTCCCAGTCTGCAGTAGCGAATTCGTAAATCTTCGTGGTACTATGCTATCCTGGGTACCAGTTTTTCACGGCCCATAGGTGGACCGATGAGCCTCTTTTGGATGATGGACAACATTACCATTTATTACCATCATGGCTTGTGGCCAATTCACATATAGCTAACCCGCGAGGTTGGCGCCCAGCCACGCCTTAAAACGTTGTCCGTTAGTGCTTGTTCACTTAACTCTGGAGTCGGATTATTTCCTCACAGGCATCTCTTGCGTGCTATTATATTATCCGCCCGCAGTGGAGTCGCCAATACCAACACCTCGTGTCGTATGGGTCATTGCGTTTACGCCCGTTAATGTCCCCTCAACTAAGTGATTTTTACATTTTACTCACATCTTCCTTCTTCGGTAGGAAACCGTAGAGAAAAACGAGCAACACGTGCAGAAGGTTACAGCTACCGTCAAGGATACGAAAGAGTCGACGGAACATAAGATTGCAGAGCTGAAGGAGAATCTGGAAATGGACTTGGCGTTGAAGGATAGGCGCCGCCAGCAGATACTCGAAGAGAAGATTGGTTCCGCAAAAAAAGAAGTAAGCAATCCTTTAAAATTATTGTGCTCGGTTTCCAGACTGAGAAAGTAAAAAAGTTACGGTCATCGCTTAGCGGCACCTTCCAAGAAAAACTAAAAGAAATAGAGATTGATATGTCGAACAAAGAAAATAATCGCAGATCAATCCTATTGAGTGTTAAAGAAGCCTGCAAACAAAAGGTACATATATGCTCTATTTTGTGCATTTTTTCAGATCGACCATGTCTCGGAAGTACAATCGCGCCGTTCGCTGAGCACTTCCGCTCAAGAACAGGAATGAGTGCATTTCGCTAACGTCCAATAGATGATCACTGTCCCCTATTTCACTTTTGTGACCCAATTCACCTTATCAAGTTAATTCATATGTGCATTTTATTCAAATATTGCAGTCGTTTGTTTCCTTGTGTCTTCTCGGCCGATCGTAGGTTGTCCAGTGTCATTCATTGCCATTCATCTTGGAACTTGCTAGGATGAGTCACCGTATAAGTTGGCAATCACAGGTTGTTCTCCTCAACTCTTGTTTCCTAATCC